GCTTCACTATAAGTAAGTATATATATGTCGTTTGAATTAATTATTCTTATTTTTAAGTTGTCGCTTGGATTTATATGACATTAATTTTGATGTATTCAGATCGAATTGTCGAAGGAAAGAATATAAATATATGGAAATGTTTTCTACTATATGATGCCCGGTTTATTTGCCTTGCTATGATTGGTTTCTCACTATCACGTGATCTTAATTAGCCAATAGGCCATGATTTCATTAGTTAATCAAAGTATAATAACCTATAGCTCAATCTCTGCATTGAGAAACGAAGTATATTATAGTAAATTTGAAAGACGTGGTAGCTTGAATATGGAAATTTAATTTTTTTGTTGTTAAAACTGAAAAGTCGTATATTTTCTATTCTATTTATATATTGAATAAACAATAATAATATAATGGTTGGGTATTTATTTAGAATAATTTAAAATATAAAAGTCAGGATAATTTTCGAATATTCTATTTGAGAGATGCGATGCTTGATCTTCTTATTCTACGAAGGTATATTTTACGGCGTAAAAATTGACCTATTTATTACTTCGAAGCATTTTTATATGTAATTATTCTTTAAAAGTTTTGTCACATGTGCGATACTCAATATTGCAGTTTGTTGCTATTTGTAATGAATCTTGAATTTCTTTTTTTTTTTTAAATAAATATGAGAACTATAATTGTTTTCTCTCTCACATGTCTCTACGATGTTTTATGTGGCTTATTATTCTATTATATTTATTATATGTTTCCTTTAGAGAAATATATAGATTTCTCATTAGAATAATATGGTTAAATAGGGATTAACGAAATAAAATAATTCATCAGCTGAAATTCGACTAATATTAAATGGAGAACATGACTAGAAGAATGCACTCAACATAGAAGTAATGGAGAACATGTATTACATCACTCAGAGAGAAAATAAGTGGTCAGAATCTTACCAATTCAAAAAGAGTGCGGCTTTTAAACGTGAATTGATCTAAAATGATCCTTCAACCAACACGCTCCTTTCATCATCTCAAAGCAGACATCTGCCATTAGCCTTCGAGCCTGAATGTAAACACAAGGGGTTATGAAGAGCTTCAATTTATTATTTATGGATTACTTTCTATAACAAATTACGCTGCCCAGAGTTTGGCTCTATTGTGTAGTTTGAAAATTGACTCCTTCATTCATTAGCTAGACGTTTATATTTTAGTTGGTTTGAAGCTGGCCTCTTTACATTCAACTTTAAATAATTACTGTTTGGTTATAGCTTATATTTCCTAACACAATATTGTGAATAAAACTAAAAGATGCTTAAATATCAGGTAGAATACCATCAACATACACAAAGACCTTTTATAATTCATCTCATCTAATGAAGACATGTCCCTAGTTAAAATAGAAGAAAGAAGCAAACAATGGTAAGATTACCAATAACAAACAAGTAATTAGCTATCCCTACAGTCTTGATGTAGGGAGATATAATAACACTGAGTATCTCTTCTAAATATTTTCTCTTTCGTAAGTTTTCGTTATTCTCAAATTTTCTGCTGAACTGGGAGTACAAGCAGACAAATCAGATGAATTAGATAAAACTTTGTAAATTTCTGAATTGTTACGTTGAAAGGATATAAATCTGCCTTTTTTCCCTATTTCTCACTATAAGTCAATATATTTTCATAGGTTAGAATTATATAGAGGAAGAACCTTCTTTCTAGAGTTGGTAACATGTAAAAAGAGTATAGAATTCTCAGTAATGAAACCACATTTTATCTCGAATATAATTTCATAATATATTTTAAAATGTATTTTATATCTCTATCCCCTCTCGAATTTTTTCCTTTGATTCGTGGTGGTGTCTTGTCGCAAAACATTGCTTCCCCGGACTGCAGGTCCTAGAGCGTCGGCTCCCTTGGACGCAGTAGCAAGAACCGCCAATTTCTGATTTTGTTGCTCCATGTAAAGGGGGGCTGCCATTGCCCCGTTAGTCAGCCACATTTCAGAGTTCCCTTAGGCCTTCACGGTTACCGTAGCGGCTCGGGGCTCACCAAGTCCACCGTACTTCGCCCTACAGGGCGGTCCCTTACGTTGATTCGTTAAATACCATGACTAAAAACCTCCATCAAGTCCAGGATATATAAGTAGAATACCCCAATACAATAAGAAAGCGGTCTAGTGGATTGATTTGGAAGGACAATGGAAGGGTTCAGCACTGATGAATCAAGTCCTCCCAATAAAATTTTCATCACATTGGATATTATATTTATAAAATAAAAATATGGCGCAAACATTGTTTTATTTCTTGTATATTGAAAGAGCATATCCTGCCTATGACAACTAAACGTCTAGCCATCAGCAACGCTTAAAATGCAGAAAGATAATCACTCCCTTTCTTTTATTCTATGTTTTTAAGATAGTAAAGAATTGTTGCAACACACACACAAGTTCTATTTTTCTTCTTTTTATTTTTTTACCGAAAGTAAAACGTGATAAAAGCATATTGTGATCGTATAGAAAAAAGAACGAGTCACACATAATTAATACTTAACTAAAAGTTCCATTTTTAGCCTTGAGGTCATTAAATATTTAAAACATTTAAAATATTTAGAACATAAAATTTTTTTAAAATATCAATGTGATTGTTAATTTATTTCATGGGGCACTTTCTTTCGAATAATTAATATTTTTTATTTAATTTTTATAGAAATTGTATTTTTCTTTTTCAGTGAGGTGCGAACCATATATAAATGAAAACTACTTAGAGAATGTGCAAGAGTATAATATATATATATATGAATTCATATTAAGGATCATCTATAATTCGCAATGGATGTCTATATTTTAGTTATCGCATAACTTCATGTTTACTTAGCATATTCTGATGCTGTTATAACTATAACATAGGAATATGTATAGAAAGGTCAAGATATATTAAGAATCTATTATCGGCATTTCCGATTATCCCTAAATTTGCAAAGTATGACAGCTTTATTCGAATATTCTCATTAAAGTAGAGAAAACGAAAATTTCTAAATTAAAAAAAAAGAATAAATGCTTTAAAATAGATAAAGCTCTGAATTATCATTGTTTGAAGAAACGGCTTGAATGGACCTATTGTCTAAAATATATAGAGAACATTTACTTTATGAAACTTTCAACAATAAAAGTCATCTAGAAACATGTACCAATATGTACTCTACTGAATATGTCAACATTCTAACTGTTATTAAAAATCGTAATATTTGGGTTGACACACACACAACATTAAGAACGGATGGTAAATAGGAGTTGTTTATATAAAATATTCCTTGGATAATCCAGGTTCGTCAAATACACACTTCTTGCTAGAATAAATATTGACTCAGTGTAAATTCTCTATTTACTATCACCAAAATCGGCAGAGGTGTCCATAAAAACGTCAGAAAGGAAACAAACAGGCTGTATTGATGTTGAGGGGAGATGGCGCGCTATACATTACGGGATTAGCACCGATAAATTCTCGGCGCTACGGCTACAAATTTACCGCTCAGTAGCCCGCTGTCGCAACCTACTCCTTGTAGCGCATTTATCTCATGCTCACACCTCCTATATCGCTACCGCTGGCTAGCCGCCGGAAATTTTCTCTGAGTTGCCCGCTACTGTCGCAACTTTTTTTTTTGTAGAGCATTTATCTCATGCTAACGCCTTCTATATCGCCACTGCAGTCAATCCGCCAAATTTTCCCCTGATTTTCCTGCTAAAATCGTAACTTCTTTTCTATAGATCATTTATCTCATGCTCACACCTTCTATATCGTTATTGTTGTCTATCCGCCGGATTTTCTCAATGTTACCCACCGCTGTCGTAGCTTGTTTCTTGTAAAGCATTCGTCTCATGCTCACACACTATATGTCGCTATTGCTGTCGATTATCAGGAATTTTCCCAGAGTTGCCCGCTGTGTGTTTTAACCCATTTATTACAGTATATTCATCTTATTTTCAAAACATCACTGCTGCTCTCTTATCAGTGAGAAATGAAATTATTTTCAGTGTAAAAATAAACTGTCATTTATTACTCTATATAATTACTCTAAGTTTTCAGAACGTAATTCAACCATACCGAGACATTATTTATAAATATTATGCAGTACAAAACCCGCTCTATAAAACGATAAACTTAGCGAAGGTGTTGAAGTAAAGATTCCGATAATCATCGGCCAAAGACGGTTGCTGCACTTACGGCAGTGGCGGCGCTCCAAGCACCAGTTTTTGTAGTTTTCCGCTTCTTTTCTGTCGCCTGCTTCGCGCAACTTTGTATTGTTTGTTTATTCGTTTTTTTCTCTATCATCGTTCTTTATAAAGAGAAAGCCAATACATTGAATAAATCTTCAATTATAACGGAAATATTTTTCGTTATATATATAACACCAAAATAAAGATGATTATGGATGGATTATGGATAATAAGGATGATTATCATGAACCAAAGGTGGCGCCTATCACTTTTAAAACGCATTTAAATAATAAAAAATGTACATTTTGTGTTATCACACAGGTAAAAAACATTATATACATATATACTACTATAAATGATAAAATAGGCATATATTAGATCAATATTGTTTAATATAAACATCCAATATTTCGACGATGAAGCTGTTCGCCCATCATCTTCTGGGGTTTAACCCAACAGGGTTTGGCGAACTGCCTAATCGGAATATTCCATATTTCTAATAAATAATACTGATCCAATATATGCCATATCTTAATTTAATGTATTCAAAAAATCGACTAATATCTATTTTCAACACATATGTACATATTAAAAATAAAAATATCATATCCTGTCTAGGCTCACATGAAGATTTCTAGATGGCAGGTGCTCCATCTTGTTTCTCCTTAAAATAAATTTCGATTTTTCGTTCAAAGGAAACACATGAGGGATAATTTTCAAATATAGCTTTACAATCATAAGCCGCATTTTATTGTATTATAAATTACTATATATAATATTTACGAACGGAAATATATGTCCAGGGTAGCCTAGTGGACATGGCATATGCTGCCCGGTAAGCGGAACACTGTGGGTACAATTTCCATCCCTGGGCACTTTTTTTTTCGTTTATCATAACTCTTCACAATTCATCCTTTCATACTTCATTCCTAAGGTTGGAAATAATCGTTATTTCTCCTTAAAATAAATTTCGGTTTTTCGTTCAAAAGAAACACATACGGGATATTTTCAAATGTCGCTTTATAATCATAAGCCGCATTATATTGTTTTATAGAATTTTTCATTTTTAAAAAATGCGTTTGCAAGAAACGAACCTAAATAAGCGTTAATTTGATTTTTGTCCACTAGATGGCGCTCTTTCATCTAAAATTGATCATGTGAGCGGTTTGGATATGCCTTTTATTTTAAATATATATAAAGTATAAAAGTAATAATTTACAGATGTTTTAAGTTATATATAAGAAAATTAAGAATTTTAGTATATTTTTAGTAAACCTAAATTATGAGGATTATTTATTAACTATTTTATAATTGCTGATTGTCCCAGTAAAGTAAAACTATTTTCCTGAATATAATATGCTCAAGTAGTTAACGATTTTCTCAAAAATTGCCCCATTGTCAAATTAAAGGTTATTACATAATTTCCTGAATTGCACATTTTACTCCAGTCTTTCGCAACCTTTCTATAATGAAAATGTAATTTTATTAGACCTCGGGGTTTCTTCTACAATTTAATTATAAATCTATTTTTGGATAAGAAAACATAAATATTCAAAATTTACTTAATAAATATTTAGATCAAATATTATCAATATCGCTAATATTGTTAGCAATATTTCAAGTTTTTCACTTTTGTTGAAGAAAGAGAAAATTTATTTCAAGCCAATTTTATGTGAACTTTTTATTTTTATTTTCTTTTAGTGTCAAAGTAAAATGGCTATCTTCTTCTTCATTGAAAAAATTGATATTTTTACTTTTCCAATTTTCTTATTTATATAGAAGAATTTTCTCTCTATTTTGCTCACTGAAGAATATTCTAGCATTTGTCCCATTTTTTAAATAAAAATATTTCATATAGGTGAATTCAAATATATATGAAATTCTATATATAATGGAAACTCTATTTATAATGAAATCCTTTACTAATAGTGGATTATATTTCACATAACAAATATAATAAATATAAAAATCGAATCATTTTTATATAGAAAAACTTTATGATATGAGTATAACATAATTTAATAAAATAAATAAAGCTTCCAGGGCTAAGTTTCTTGTGATACTTTTTATTTCAAGCATTTCAGACTTGTCAGTCCTTCTATGTATATATACAAGTATATATATTTTGTCGTGTATTTATATTCTAATAATTTTAAATGCACAGATTATTATTCTGTGATATATTGTATATATCGTAATATATAACTTATCATCATCATTCAGTTGTTGACTTGTAATTTTGGATTTTGAATCTACACCGGTGTAATATAATAAAAGCCATTTAAATAAATAAGGCCTAAAATATATTTCTACTTTCTAATTAACTTAAATACACCATATACTTGTATATATATATATATATATATATACACAATTCTTAAGGAGGTTGGACCTTTTAGTATGTATATCGGGATTTAGACAAAGCCATAACACCAGCTTTGGCAAACGCAACCTGGAGACACTGATATGTGTCTATAGCTTAGGTTAATCTGGAGGTTTCTTTGATTTCACGTTTTTATAAAGGAATTTTTAAAATATATAAAATTGGTTGAATATAAGTTTTACTTTATTTGATTTTGTATGTGAAAGACCTTTTTTTCAACAAGATATAATTGCAACTTATATTGCCGAGTCCAGATATGTTAGGTATTAGAGAACTGGGTTCCTATATAAATTGATGCTGCCTTTTTTATACTAATCATTATAAATATATTTTGATGCATTAGCGCGCCATCTGTTATCAAAATTCGAAACTATTATAGACGCGTATGAATTTTTTTAAAAATAAAAAATCTCTACTGTCCTTACTGCAATGGAAAAATTGATGCTAGGCCCTGGCATTAACTTTTCCATTGCAGTAAGGGCAGTAGAAATTGTTTATTTTTAAAAAGAATCATACGCGTCTATTATAATTCGAATTTTGATAAAGATATTTACCTAGGCACTATAATAGCGATGAAAAACCAAATGATAAGATCTAGATTAAAGTTGAATTGACCGTAATATATTGTTGAAAGTGTTGGATTTATTACAGATTTATCTTTGAAATTATATACTCTATATATCCCTCTTTTAACTATTAAAGAACTAATTTTGTTTATACTTTATGTAATAATATTTTGAAATTTAGTTATAGAAATAAGAACAGAGTTTACTGAGAGACAAGAAACTTCATTTACTATTTAATGTAATTTTTTAGCATTTAATTAATAAAAACTTAACTATGTTAAATCTATTATCGAAAATATTTTTGTACAGGTTCAATATTAATATTATCTAAAATAAGCATTTTATTTTACACCGCACAACATTAATTAATCAATCTAATTAACCTTAGCAAAATTACAAAATTAAATTGATTTAGCATATGTTTTCATGAATAATTTAAATCTTATATTGTATTAAATTTAAATTAATAATTCTCTGGTGAAACTTTGTAGGGAGCAGAATATACAACTCAAGTCACGCAAAAGCTTTATTAAATTATTTAAACATTTACATATTATATAATTCCCATTTTTTAAAAAAGATAATTTATCTTAGAAGAGTCTCATTTATTCGGGTCCTATGCAAATCGCTGACTACATCGGTCATATAACTCTGGTTATTTATAGAAAATAATATTGAGCGATGATCATGTCCGCGGTATTTTTTACTTCCAATTTGTCTAGGACGAACAAAGAAAACATATATATGTAAAATTACAGACGAATGGGAATTAACATAGGTAAGAACTTATGTACAGGTTGCCTCTTTGCAAGTATCTGCATTATTTACATAGCCATTAATGGCAAGATATAAATTATATAGCATAGAAAAGTAATATTTTGGGAAAAAAATGTTTATTTGTTCTTCATGAGATGATTAACAAAAATATATGTGCATTATAAATTTTAGAGAGAAAAAAATGTTAACAATAAAGGTTATCACACATATATATACGTGGCGGAATATTACTTTAAAGACCAATAATGAGTTGAAAGTGTTTTTGTTCAAATAATTTTGCCAACTTGAAACAAATTTTAAAGATGTTATAGTTATTATTGGAAATAACTTTGTAATCTCTGTATACAGTGGGGTTTTAAAGCAAATTTCTTGTATTCGCATTACAGCTTGTTTAAGAACATTATAGTCGGAAATCTTACTGAACTTCAAATTTTTTCAAACCTTCATTAAATTTATCAAACCAATCATTTTCTTCATTGTATTTGCATAGAGAGAGAATGTACCGATTGAAATTATGAAGAGTAATGACAAAACATTGTTTTAAAACATTTATTAAAAAAGGGCGTGCCTTTTTTAACCTATGAATCTAATCCTACCGTATTTTGCACACAATATAATGATAGGTTGCGGGTATAAAAAATATTTTATTTTAAAAACAAAAGAAAATTTCAAGCAACGTAAATGAATACGAACACTAGGAGCTCAACCATATATATAGGTATACTAGCCGAATGACCCGGGCAACGCCCGGGTTTTACCCGATTAAATGTTTTTATTTAAATACTATTCGTTACAATTTTAAATTGGCGGCGTGGATGTCGTCACTCTTGTGAAACGTCCCGCTCCAAACTTTGTGTCTGAGAAGCGATATTTGTTATATAGAAAGATGATCTGGCTTTTGTTTTCTGCTCGAATGAATGTTTTTCTGTTAGAATTTTGTTCCTGCGTACAAAATAATGAGCTGGTTTCACCCTTGGTCTCTGCTTTTTGGAATTTTTCCCGATATAATTTTGTATCTGATAATCTTACATGATACAGCAATATCGTCATCATTTTATGACTAATAATATATAGATTTAATAATTGATTTATATATTTTTTAAAATAGCCTATCGTCTTCCCCGTATTTTTTACCTATGTATGGAAATTTTGGTTTGAATTAGTGAACTACTGCGAATTTGTATACCGGACATACAAACCAACAAACAAACAAACATACAAACATTCATTTTTATATATATAGAAGATATAATATAAATGAGTTTTAAAAATTGTTAAAAAAAATGCATCGGCCGGGAATCGAACCCTGGCCGCCCGCGTTGCAGGCGAACATTCTACCACTGAACCACCGATGCTTTTAAAAAATGGCCATATTTAGGTATTCATTCCATTCCGGATTAGTCCGCGTAAAAAAAAGTTCTTCAAATGAAAAAAAGAAATAGCCAAAAATACTAATCAAAATGCAGCCGAAAATTTTCCTCAGGTTTATAAAAAGCGACATGCAAAATTTGGTACCTATTGGTTCAGTAGTTTTTTAGTTTATCGCGAAACAGACAGACAGACAGAAATTGACTTTTATATATATAGAGATTATAAGAACTACACTTTATCAAAATAGCATACAAAGCACTTCACGGAAAGAAAATGTCTAAATATCTATTAATATTGTTACATGGCAAAATAAACTTTTATATATCTTCTTTGAATAATAAATATATAACTTTTCATATATCTCACAATGAATTTTAAAATTTCATTCTGTTTTTACTAAAATCGAAATGCACGAAACTATTAAAATTTAATAATAATATAGAAATTATTAATAACAATTTATCATTTTAAAAACAAATCACACGGAAGGGATAATGGAAGTCTCAAAAATGATAATAAAAAGATTTGATGATAATTATTGTAAAGTCTATTCTTATGAAGAACGTGTCTATATTTAGAGGAATATTAGGAAATAAGATTTATCCGGAAGAGATTCTATATGATCCTAGCCTAGAGCATGGCCCTCGGCCTAATCTAAAAACGCTAAGAAGCTTTGAGACTTAGGGAGCTCGAGGGAAGAAAAGTTTTCCAAAATGATTTTCCTCAATGAAACTTGTCGATTGAGGGATCTTGGGATTAACCTATTTGAGTCCAATTG